GTTTTTTAGTTTCTATGTGAAACTAATATGGAATTGGTTTTGTAATGCTGTGCGTTTTTTTATATTTGTCAATAAAAATTCCCAACTCTCATTGGTCCAATTTTTTGTATGTATATACTCGTTTTTGACAATGAGTAATAATCTCAAAAATATGATGATAAAATAAAAGTAATTGTATATGTAAAATCAGCGCAATAATAGGTTTAGATGTGTATATTTTATAAATAGTAATTATATTCATAAGTAACAAACAATTTTTTTTTATTGCAACAAGACATTTAATTTTTATACACGTTTGCCATAAAAGTAAAACTGATCTATAATTTTTTATGATATCATCGTAAAAATTACAATACTATATTATTAAATATCAATTTCACTATAGTATATTTAATTTCTATAATAAATATTTATTCATATATAACACTTATAAATTATAAAACTTATAATCCGGATATAAATAACAAAATAGAAGTTCATTCTGATTTTGGAATAATTCGACAATTTTTTAAAATTAAACACTATTTGCAGATTTACATGGAAGCATTACATATGATGGTGATTTTAATCACTGTTAGATATCATCTATACTTGAGCCAAGTATGTCACTGTTGTGTTACCACCACTTGATAAAATAATTTATCTTGTGAATATAAATATATGTATGATTGATAGGGACATCCGCCTGTGGAAGTCCCCTTGATTTTGGCTATATCAATATTTACTATCGTTAGTCAGTCTATTGTCTACTATTACAGAATAAACACTATAACTGTAAAGCATATTCTTATACTTGCATTGTTATTATGAAAGTTTACTTTGTATATATATATACATTTATATTAATTTTTACTTTTCTTTTGTAACTTAATGTTTATCTTATAATACATTTTAATATTTATAACCAGCATTATTTCGAAAGTGTTAAATTCATTTCTTTATACATAATCACTACCTCCTATACACATCTTGAAGGGCTCTGTGCGGATAGCTCAATAGGAAGTCCAGACGGTAACCCGAACAACAAATAAATATTAAATTCCCTCAGGAGAGCCTTCCAGGTCCGCCACACCACGACTCCCATGATTTACCGTGTTAACATAATAAATTTCAATTTTCATAACTTTACTAAATATTACATTTTTTAATAATTTTTTGGTGAGCTAAATAGATTTTAAAGAAAAACGATTAGAACTTAATTTATACAAAACAATTCGATCTACAATTTAGTTTCAATAATTTTTGTTATGAGAGCGCTAATTTACGAGTTAATTGCTAAAAACTCGAT